GGCGGCTTGCTCTCTTACTTTCTTTCTCTCTCTCTCTGGTCAAAATTTTAAAAGTTAGTCAAATCAAACAAATAATTAAACACACACACACACACATCCTAGACCAGCCCAGTGGTGCTTAGTAATCAATGTTAAGAAGGTGGGTTCCCATTAGCCTAAGACATGCTGGAACGTTGGGAACCAGCAGTTAGCGTAATGGCTATGTCGCTGGACTCCCACGTAGTCGACCGCGGTTCATGTCCCGGACCCGGTGGCTTAAAACTCACGCCGGGTGCGTGTGCGTGCGTGCCCAAGATCCCGAGAGGAGAATGGAGGAGAAGGGATTGTGGCGTGACCATCCCCCCTGGGGGGTGATTTCTCGCTTTCTGTCTCTACGTCTCTCTCTGTCTGTCTGGTGAGCGCACGCGCCCTACAGTGAAAATCTCCCCCCCCAAAAAAAAAGACATGCTGGAATGTGTGCGAGGGTCCAGGATTCTATGGGCTGGGAGGCTGGGTGAAGGAGACCCTACAGAGGGTACTCCTCTCCCTCTCACACACGCTCCATCATGAATAAAAGAGAAAGAAAACCCTAAACTTCAACAGGCCTCAGGTTACTGAGACAGCCCTGCCCCAGTGGTTAAGACTTGGCTGTGGGGGAGTGTAAGGATGACTGAAAGGTTTTCAATCCCCTGACCTAGGGCTGGGTAGCGAGGCAGCTATAAAACACAATACTCTGAGGCTGACCCCATGTGGGAAGGTTCCCTTTTCATGTTCAATGACCTCCCTGAGAACCCCACTGGGAAATGCTATCCCAGACACAATCCATGCAGAAGAATGGTGCATTAGGTGAGCTGGCCCCTTCCAAAGGCCCCCATCCTAGCTGTGGGCCTCCAGCCAGGCCTCGCTTTACGATGACACTCACCTGGGGAGCGAGAGGGCTGTGTGTGAAGAAGATGGTGGAGAAGCAACTTGTAGACACAATTCTACCTTTCTTTTTTAAAAAGAATTATTTGACCCTGGGACCAGCAGTTAGTGTAATGGCTATGTTGCTGGACTCCCATGTAGTTGACTGCAATTCAAGTCCTGGACTTAAACTCACACTGGGTACATGTGTGTGCGTACCCAAGATCCCGAGAGGAGAATGGAGAAGGGAACTGCGGTGTGGCCACCCCACTGGGGGGTGGTTTCTCGCTTTCTCTCTCTCTCTTTTTCTGGCAAGCACATGCGCCCTATAGAAAAAACCTTTCCAAAAAAAAAAGAAAAGAAAAAAAAATTATTTAACTCTATTTATTTTAATTTAATCAGAAAGGACAGACTTAGTGAGCTAGAGAAGGAAAGCGAAAAAGCTGCCAGAGTCAGGACTCGAACTGCAGTCAGCCACGTGGGAATCCAGTGTCCATAACCACACCACCTGCCAGCCCACAAGCTTCCACTTCTGTGAGGAAGCTGGAGCCTCCTGGCCCAGTGGCTAACTGACCCAGGTACGCAGAGGTCCGAGGCGGCCCCGCGGGAGGGCCTCACTTGGACAGTGATCTAGCATTAGGAGCAGTAAACAAAGGACGCTCGGAAACATGCCCTCCCGTGACCTCCGTACTGAGGCCAGTGAGGGAAGCGGAGCATAACCACTTGGGTAGGCAGCTTTAAAGGCCTGGAGAAGACTGTCTTGTGGAATTCTGGGCCGCTGTGGACTCCCAGGGCAGGGAACAGGCTGGGAATAGTCTTGTGGTGTGGCAGTTACTGTGAATAGAAGCAGCACACAAATTAGGGCTGCCACAAGGGTTTTCGGCAGGGAATACAGGAAGACAAAGAAGGCAGTCCTGGGTGAGCATGTTCTCCTTCAAGAGCTCTTGGTCGGTTTGGTTCCAAACTGACAGGCGCATCAAAATGAAAGCTTCCCAGGGCACACACCCACCCTTCTTCAGGACCACCTCCAACCCCACCCCCCCAGCACCCTTGTCCACCCTCAACAAATCAATAATCTGTAGACAACACCAATTCTTCTCAAACAGTTTAATAGCAAATAAACAAAGGAAGGTACCACATTTGACAGATACAAAATGAGTTTTTGTCCGTGTGTCTGTGCAATTAAAACAGATTTAGGTTCCCCATTGGGACAAAAGGAAAAACACACATAAAAAGGAAGGCGATTCCTTTTAAGCACATACTCCCTTGCTCCAAACTTGTAACAATTTTCTTTTTTAATCCACTACACAAACTCTGTGATTAGGCAGGAATGGCAACAAGGGCTCTTCTTGCCTTTTTTTTTTAAACCATTAAAGTAAAATCCATAATTTTCTACAGAGTACAACACAAGTTCACACAAAAAGACATTTTATTTTGCAAATCAAAACAAGAAAGAAAGGAAAAGCTCAAACAAGGTAGAGGAAAAGCATTCTACGGCTGAATCACGACTTTGAGTTGATTGAATCCCGTTGTTGCTGCAGGACAGACTGTGCGTTTGGTCATAGTGGCAATTTTTTTTTTTTCTCTTCACATTGTGAAATCACTTTACATTGTTTTCTAGTAGAAAAGGCAAAAAACTGTACAAAACCCCTAGTGTTAAATACAACGTTTGTACCAATAAAAAACTCACACAGGTTTGTCTCCAAAATGTAAAGGTTCTTTTTTTTTTCTTTTTAAATTATTCACAAAAAGCAGCTGGAAATCAGAAAGGCAGCTGCCACTCCAGGGTCTCAAATCCATTAAAACCACCACAGAACAATTAAAACAATCAAAGAGAGAAAAGGAAAAGGAAAGAACGTCCAACGTTTGGCATTTGGTTTTATCCACAGGTTTTCCCAGAGCTCCTTTTGGAGTTGAAAGCAAAATATATTGGCAAACGCGGCTTCTCAATACACGGGAAGGGGAGCCTCAGCGCCTCCTGCCAACAGAGGCGGCTCTGTGCAGTCAGACTGTGGGGCGCACAGCAGTCTCTCAGGCTGGGCTTTCTGGCCTCTTTCCATCCAATACCCCTTCCAGGAAATGAAGCAGCCTACCATGCGCTGGGCCTTCACTTGGCTGCCCTTTCCCCCTGGTGGGAGTGGCCTTTCAAGCAGAATACGGGACAACCCGCTGGGTCCCAGGGCAGAAATCTGAAGGGCTCCCTTCCTTTATTGGCCCAGCATGGACGATGCTAAACAGTGCTTCTACCTTCCCCACCCCCTCCCCCCGGCCCTCGGCTACACCTCTCCACCCTTCCCTGAACGGTCTTGCCTCCAGCTCTCTCACCCACCAGCAGCTCGGGTCTGGGTGGGATCTTTCATAGATTCCTCCCCTGCAACCTGTTCTCTCCACAGATCCATCCAGTGACCTCATCCTTAGCTCTGCTGGCCTCTCTTCCCTGATCCATTCACATTCTTACTCCCACCTCCAACACCCTGAGGCTGGATGGTGCCACAAGAGAAGAGGGTTCAGTTCCCCTCAGGGAACCAAAGAACTGGTTTGCCTGACACCCAGGGACAGTAGCTATTTGGCTCTTCACTCAATTTAAGAAACCAATCTCTGCCCTCACCCCTCTCCCACCAGCTAAGCAGGAGCAGAGCCTCGGTGAAGAGCCAGTATGGGGTGGTTGGTGCCCAGGGCTGTAAACAGTGTGAAGACTGTAGAATTGTGCTTGTCACCTCGGAAAAACGCAGGCAGGTGAATTGCCGCTTAGTGCACACAGGGCCTCCTCCAGGTGGGTAAGCACAGCTACTTCTCTCTCAAGCTCTCTACCCCTAATGCCCTAAAGGCCTTGCCCACCCACAGCCACCTTCAGGGTTCTAGCTCTGCCTCTAGTGCCTCTCTGGGCCCCTTCCCTTCTCACCCCCTCTAAGCAGAGCAGCCAGCTTCCTGGACGCCCCGTTGAGACCTGGAAGCCACAGGAGGTGACAGTCTAAGTGCACAGGCAAACGCTCTAAGGGCAATAGAGGAGAAAGTTGCCACTTCAAAATAAAATACAATCTTGAAAAAAAATCAACCCCACAACAATTTAAAACAGCTTCTTTGAAACCCTTTTAAATCGGTCAGTTTTTGCACAAACTATAGAAAACAGAGAGGTGAAGGTGATATATACGAAGGTGTGAAGAAACAGCAGGAAACATGCAAAACTTGTTTTTTTCTGGGCATAATCTTAGTAGGAAAGGAAACAATTCAAAACAAAAACACAAAAACAATACAGGGGGAAAAAAAAATCAAAGCATCACATTTTGCTGTGGAGACTGTAGGAACAAGCATGGGGATGAGCCCTACTGGGCCGAGGGGAGGGGCCGGAGGGGTCGAAGGCTCCCGCAGGAAAAACCACAAAAGAAAATGAGAAAGGGCTAGCTGGGACCCGAACTGCAGCCTGCGGTCAAAAAGGAAAGGGGGTCCAGGTGCTTTCCGCAGTTGAGAACTCAAGAAAAACAAAAACAAAACAGCACATGCAGTCTCCTCAAGCCCCACAAACTAGATCAGCAAAATGTGCTCAGGAGCCTTAAAGGTTTTAGTGACATCTTTTATTTCATTGTTTACTTCAAAGTTGTCTTTAAAACTAAGCACACAGAGAAACAAAGCCTAGAAACGGACTGGCTGTGTGTTCACAGAAATACAAACACCACGCGGTATGTGCTAGTAGGGCTGCTCTGAAGACAATTACAAAGAATTGGAATCACAAAATCAAGTGGTTATCTTATGAAGTTCTAGAAAAATAGATTTTTTTATATTCAAATGCAAGTTTAAATATTTCCCCTTCAGCAGTCGTTCTAGCAAAACCAATTTGGCAGCACAAAAGGGAAAAAAAAAAAGAGGAAAGAAAAAAGAAAAACAAAGAAAGAAACAAACATAATAAAAATACACGTCAGCATCAAAGGTCAACACAAGGTCAAAGGTGAGAGTTCAAGCATCAGAGAAGCTGAAGAGACAGGGATTTGGACGATGTACTTGACGCCACATCGACATGCTTTAGGCACAACGATGAACAAACGGCAGGAATCTAGAAAAAAAAACAAACCAGAAAGAGGGAGACCCACTGAGTTACACAGAGCAATACATCACATGCAGTCTCCTCAAGCCCCACAAACTAGATCAGCAAAATGTGCTCAGGAGCCTTAAAGGTTTTAGTGACATCTTTTATTTCATTGTTTACTTCAAAGTTGTCTTTAAAACTAAGCACACAGAGAAACAAAGCCTAGAAACGGACTGGCTGTGTGTTCACAGAAATACAAACACCACGCGGTATGTGCTAGTAGGGCTGCTCTGAAGACAATTACAAAGAATTGGAATCACAAAATCAAGTGGTTATCTTATGAAGTTCTAGAAAAATAGATTTTTTTATATTCAAATGCAAGTTTAAATATTTCCCCTTCAGCAGTCGTTCTAGCAAAACCAATTTGGCAGCACAAAAGGGAAAAAAAAAAGAGGAAAGAAAAAAGAAAAACAAAGAAAGAAACAAACATAATAAAAATACACGTCAGCATCAAAGGTCAACACAAGGTCAAAGGTGAGAGTTCAAGCATCAGAGAAGCTGAAGAGACAGGGATTTGGACGATGTACTTGACGCCACATCGACATGCTTTAGGCACAACGATGAACAAACGGCAGGAATCTAGAAAAAAAAACAAACCAGAAAGAGGGAGACCCACTGAGTTACACAGAGCAATACATCCAAACAAAGAGAGAGAGAACAGGAACACTCACTGTGTACAGCCCTGAATGAGGAGGCGGGGCGGGCCAGGGGGTCGGGTAATGACAGGGAACTTTTGCACATGCTAACAATGGACACAGGGAAAAAAGTCAAAAAGGACATGGAGAACACCAAGAAAACATCCACTGCCAGAGACAGAAGGGAACCTAAGGCTTGGATTTCCTGCAAAGCGCCAACTGCGGAAGCGAAGGCGGCCCCTGGGGAGCAGCCCTCAGCCTTTCTCCCCACTCCCTGGGCAGGACCCAGAGGCAAGTGGAAGATGCTGGCTGGGGCAGGGAGAATTCTTTAGAGAAGAGGGCCAGGATTTCTGCTCCATCCTATGGCGATGACCTTTTATCACCAGAAATCCAAGCTCTTAGCTTCCACGCAGGCCCTGGCCACTTATGTGGAAACCAGGAGACAGTGGTCTGGGCTGCATTCAAGGCAAATCAATTTCATGATGTAACCCAAATCAGAAACAAAACTACAGCAGAAACACAACGTAAGTGAAACCTCCACACAACAAAAAGGATTGCTTAAGACTTGACTGCCAGTCTCCACTCTCCGAGCTGAGCCCTTTCACACCGTGAGACTTGTAGGGGAGCAGCTTCTGCACAAACCATCTTTGGCCTGGGGAGAGAACTGTGCTCAAGGGCAGTGCCGCTACTGTCTAACTCACTGGGCAGGGGAGGGAAACGGGAAGTGCATGGTCTCACCAGCTGGCTGCTTCAGCAGCCCAGGACCCTGCTGGGGTGAGTGCTTCTTTTAGAAGACAGAACCCACAAGCAGGTATGAAGCCTCAGGGTCTCGTATCAAAGGCAGGTGGACTGCACCTTTGCCTCTGATGTCATTAAGAAACGAGTTTTGTAAGGTCCCAGAGCCCAGGACAAATCCCTGGACAGAAAAATGGTAAATGGGGGAAGGGAGAGAAAGGGAGTATGAAGGAAGCAGAGTTCTGGCCCAGAAGGAAGACAGAACAGAGGTGAGGGAGCACAGCAGCGCAGCACCCTGTTGAGCACAGCTCCCTCCTCTGCCAGCTCACAGCACTGACGCCTTCCCCTAGGGCAGGTTAGCTGGGCTGCAAACGGCCACAGAAAGTCAGTAGTTTCAATCATACACAGCACCCTGTGTGTACAACAATCACATTCTGGATTCTACAAAATCCTGGCCTTTTCCAGAGATATAATTTAGGTAATAAATATTCTCCACCCCGGAGCTGTATAAAACTTCTATAAAAATAGAAACAACATTCTTGGTTCCAGCTGGTTGGGATTCAGAACAGTGCCTCCCCAACCTAGCGTTTTTTTCTTTTTTTGTTTTCTTTTTTTTTTTTATTTTTATTTTTTTGCATTTATTTAAAAAATCCCATCATGACCCTGGAAGCCTTTAGAACAGTTTTATCCTTTGAAACACAGGACACATTTCTCCCAGTGCGCAGAATTCAAGTTTACGTGGTTCAGCTTAAGAAGTGTATGTTTCACGTTTCTTAGAGGACAACAGACCCAAGTTATCAATCACTATGAGAAGGGAACAGCTGTTCCAGCTTCAATGGGATAATCCAACACCACCAACTACCTGTACAACAGCACGACGGTCAATCCCTGTCTGTTACCCACAGGAACAGATGGCAAAGAGAGAGGCCTCATTTGATTTAATAGCAAACCAACCCCTTTCTTCTTATCTCTGCTGCTAGGAGAGGTCGAGACTGCAATTTGTGAGGTTTAAGACTCCAGGGGCCCAGGGCTAATAGTCACGTCCCGACAGGGCTACTTCTGCCCAGGTGTTCATTCCCAACAGCCTATGTCCTTCTTGGCTCCCCACCTCCACGGCACTTCTTGGAGCTGTGTGGGTCACAGGCAAGAGCTGGAGGGAGACCCGTGGGAGGCAGCAGGGAGCTAACTGTACGCACAAGGACAAAAACGAACATACTACTACTGAGGTAAATGAACACGAAGTCCATACAGAGGCTGTAAACGTCCTGTTGTCTCCTCTATCCCCAAGAGCAAAAGATGGATGGGGTTGGAGTAGCTAGAAGATGGACCTGTCAGACCTCTGCGGGAATACTTCATCTGGGACACTTTAATAAGGGGGCTGGCATGGATTTCTGAATCCTCTTAAGTACTAGGTTCTAGCCACTGGAAATTGTGGCAGCCTGGCTTGAAGAGACCCTCTGATTCAGGTCCATCTAGCAGCATCCTCCTCCTCTAATTTAATGGCTTTTGATCATTCGGCCCAGGAGAAGTATCCCTTTTACTAGATACTGCAAGCCCTTCTTAGATGTGCCCTCTTGATAAACTGTGGCTTGAAATGGAGGTGATGTTCCTTGCTGTAGGTGAGCTACAAGGAAGGAAACCAGGCGACGTCTTCCATAGTGGCCTTTGTTAAAGGGTCTTGTTGGAAATAGGCCACAGTCTAATTTGGTATAGAAATAAACTGAAAATTATCTCTGTGGCTGCTTCTCCCAAACAGCTACCAGCCAGGCAGGGCCAATCTAATATCAATAGGCTGGGGAAGCTGGTAATGTGCGATGCATCCCTGCTTTTTGCATATGTCAGGCTAATTTACTTCCAGAGAACTGTTAACCCCTTTTCATAAAAGAGGGGCAAAAACCCAGGACAAAAATCTGAGAAACAGGTGGCAAAGAAAAAAAAAAAAGAAAGAAAAGGAAAATCCAAAAAGCAAACAAACAAGAAAACAAAAAAAAACCCCCACAGTTTCCACAGAATGCAGCTATGGAGGAGTTTCCCCCCAGCTGCCAGGGCATAGGAGTCAATTCACTTCCTCCCAAGCCAACCCACTCTCTTCTGCTCCCCACTGTTCTTGGATGTCAGTTTTCATCTCAACCACCCTTGCAGTCAGGGAGATTCTGGGGGTTGGTTTTTTGTTCCACTCAATCCTCTCTCAGGGTGGTTTGGGGCCAATTCTGATCTTTGTAAAATGTTTCCCCAGTGACCCCCCCAACCAGGGTGGTTTGGTGTTGGTCCTTCTCAACACACACTGGTTACAAACACAGCAAACTTTAAATAAAGGAAAAAAAAAAAAAAACTTAGGATATGGCACCTAAACTCCAAAGTAAAACACTGGAAACCAAAGCACAAACTTGTCCTCTGTACGAAGCGAAACTCCCACAGAAGGCAGTAGCCGAGTCTTCAGGGCAAGCTGTGCCTGCGAGAGTGGCAGGGATCAGGGTCCGGGGCTGTCAACACACAGCCTTAGGGCTTCGAATCATTAAGGGTGCTCCTCCCCCACTTACCAGAAGACCCTCTCACTCCAGTCTCAAGAGGGGAGCACGCTCAGTAGGGCTTGCTGTCATTCTTCGAACGTTTGAGCTGCACTTTAAGCCGCTTCATGCCAATCTGAAAGCCGTTCATGGACTGGATGGCAGCTTGAGCAGAAACAGGATTGTCGTAACTTACGAAACCTGTATGTCCAAGCAGAAACCCAAGTGAGGGATATAACGAGGAAAAGGAGAGTCTCAGTCCTCCTCACACAACAGATATCTTATATGCTTAGTCTCAAATCCCAACTGCGCTCAGTGGGGGTCAGGCTCTGGAGATCACGTCACAAGAAATGAGTTCCTAACAGTACCACCTTGGCATCTACATGGAACTTGTAAGTTTTTTTTCCTTGCAAGCCATTTTCCATAACAGTGTGAGCAGAAATCATTACCTCCACAACAATAAGAAAACTGAGGCTGAAAAGGCAGGCATGTGATCTGCCAAAGGGAGAGTTAAAAAATAATCCATACCCTTGGGCCAGACCCATAGCACTGTGCAATGGGAACCGGATACCATATCACAAACCACGTTTGAATCCCTGCCTGGTGGATTAAAAACACCAGGAATATGTGCATGCATTCCCAAAATCCTGGTGAGAAGCAGGAATAGAGGAAAGGAGATTATGACATGACCATGTCCCATTAGGGGGTGCTTTAGGGGGTGCTTTCTCCCCCCCCCTACGGCCAAAACAAACAAACAAATCCAAGTCCAAATTTTCTGCCATCAGTTCCCTCTCATCCTTTCTCAGGAATAAAATACATAATACCCCACCCTGACCCAAGAAGAAGCCATCGTACCAAAACACTTGCTCAGGTTTGTCTGCTTATCTATAAAAACCTTGGCAGACACGACATTCCCGAAGGGCATAAACATCTGCAGCAGGTCCTGGTCTCCGAACTCCTGGGGCAGGTGATAGATGAAGAGGTTGGCTCCCTCTGGACCTTCAAAATACCCAATGATTGAAAAGACATCAGCGTCAAGTACACACATTGTCTTGTGCCAATGGGCTTTCATTACTACGCATGTTTAAACTTTCACAATTCCAACAAGTGATTTGTTTGGGGAACTAAAGATTCTCCAAGCACAAGGCATGGAACTGAAGGGCAATCACTGAAACAGATTCCTCCCCTCAAGTTTTGCTATTCTCCATCTCATGGAGGGACATTAGCACTCTACTACAAGAGGAGGATGTACTGGGCTAAAAAAGCAGGCAGACCAGGTGTGTGGAGCAGTAAAACAACAGGCTGGAGACTCAGAGGAACACAGAAAAGGAGGCAGAAAAAGGTTTTAAGCAGAACAAATTTCAAAATGATGCACAGAAAGTACAGAGACAATGACTAGATCTGTAGTGCCAGTGGCAGGAAGTAAGGGCAGGAGACAAAGGAATTTCTAGGGTGATGGCTTTACACATCTGTGGTGGTGACTGCAGGACTATATGTGTTCAAAGCTCATAAAGCTATATACAACAACGGGTGAATGTAACTATACACAAATTGTATCTCAGTGAAGAGCAATTTTATCCTTTTAAATGTGCCTATAATTAATGATGAGCTAAAAAATAAAAGTGCATTTTTGGGGGCCAGTAGATGGTGTAAAGGTTAAAGTGGATCCCACATGGCCAATTGTTGGGTTTGCATCCCAGACCTGGGAGCTTGAAAATCATGCCAGGCACGTGTATGTGCATGACCAAAATCCAGAGAAGAGACTGGAGGAAAAGGGAATGCAGTGTGGCCATCCCCCCTCTCCCCCAACCCAGCGAGCAAAAGTGCATGTTCTTTATCTTTATCTAACCACTCAACAATTTTCTACCTAAAGGGTTTCATTGCAACCGCAGTCCCTCCACTCTACAGCCACTATGGCCATCTTGCTCCTGTCAAACATATCATGGAATGCTGCTGCCACAGGACCTTCACTCTACTGTTCCTCTGCCCCCATTATTCTTCTCCCTCCAGATACATACACAGCTTGCTCCCTCACTGCCTTCAGGTCTCTGCTTAAATGTCAGCTTAGACCTCTGAGCATTCCGCCTTTTAAGCGCAGTGCTTCCAGCACTCCCTATCTCCTTTTCTTCTTCAGCATTTTTAGAGTATCCTGTTGATGCTTGTTATGTGCTGTCTCTGAAATCTCTACTAAAATATCAGTTCAAAAAAGGTGTTCCCCTGGGGCCAGCAGGTGACATGGTGGTTAAGTGTGCTGGACTCCCACAGTCAACAGACTGTGGTTCGAGTTTCAGACCTGGTGGCTTGCTGATTCTCACTGTCTCTGTTCCTCTCCCTCCCTTTCTCCCTGGTCAAATTTAAACAAACAAATAAATGAAATAACAGTTCAATAAAATAATTCTTAAAAAACAAACAAACAAACAAAAAAACCCCACAAACACCAAAAGGTGTTCCCCTAGGCCAGAAGGTGGTATGGTAGTTAAGACACTGGACTCCCACGTGGCCAACTGAGGTTTAAGTATCAGACTCAGTGGCTTGGAAAAAATCATGCTGGCACTTGTGTGTTCATGCCTAAAATCCTAAGAGGAGAATGGAGAAGAGACTGCAGGGTGGCAATTCACCCTAGGGGTGACCTCTCATGTTCTTGGTCTTCTTTTGGCAAGCAAAACGCCCTTACAGCAAAAACTTTCATTAAAAAAGGAAGGAAGGGGACCAGCAATTGGCGTAATAGCTATGTCGCTGGACTCCCATGTATTCGACTGTGGTTCGAGTCCCGGACCCGGCAGCTTAAACTCACGCTGAGTGCGTGTGCATGTGTGTTCAAAATCCCGTGAGGAGAATGGAGAAGGAACTGCGGCATGGCCATCTCACCTCGGGGGTGATTTCCTGCCTTCTGTGTCCGTCTTTCTGGCGAGCACACATGCGCTATAGCAAAAACATCTCCAAAAAAATGGAAGGAAGGAAGAAAGAAAAAAGAGGTGTTTCCCCCACTATATATCAGCAGGACACAGAAACATTTGATTCAGAAAAGCTGAGGAGGGGGTAGACCAGGACTCCTTGCCTTTATGACACTTCCCTCTCTTCTCTGTTACTACTTAACCTTACTGGCCTCTAGGTATAAAACCCCAGTCAAGTCTGAGGACAAGGTAATCAGAAGGACTTTCAATTCCTACGAACCACCTTCAGGGGACTTTCTGTCAAGGATACCTAAGTAGAAGGTCTTCTGATAGGTTTATTATCTGCAGAGAAAACTTCCTAATAAAAACAGATTTTTATCAAAATGATGTCAAACACAAAAAGGTTCGTATCTGTTTCTTCACCTATAACTATAGCCCCATCCCAGGAGGGCATATGGAGGTTCTGATCTGAGTTCCATCCAGAAAACACTCCAAAGGCAGATACTCCAGATCTACTTCTGACACTGCCCAAGGAAAGTGCAGGTCTGAGCCCCTGAACGGTTCTCTAAGCCTCTGGAACAGCATCTGCACCCCTGACCCCAATTCTGCGCTCTGTACTCACCCTCCTTCTGGCTTCCGGCAGCACCGATACTCTGCTGGGTCAGCAGGTTCTGGTTGTACAGAGTGGGCAGTGCCGCAGCAGCATACTGCTGGATCCCCGAGTAGGCCTGAGTGAGGGCTTCCATGGTGCTCCCGGTGCCGTTGGAAAGGCCACTGCTGCCCAGGCCACCATTCAAAGCAGCCATCCCTTGGTTGAAAGAAGAGCAGGATTAACACAGTGGAAAGACTCAACTGATGCCAAAGTCAGGTACACGTAGGGACATCAGAAGAGGAAAACTCCGAAGTTCTCCCTTTCATCTACCTCTTGGATTCTCTTGAGGGAGGATTTCACCACATTCACCAGGCCTTTTTACTAATGGGGATGTTGAAGACACCACACTCAGGGGTGGTTCATCCCACTACTTTCTTCCTGCTTATGGAAGAAGTGATACCACCTACACCTAGGTGAATGGCTCCATTTTCCCTGTGGCTATCCTGCCATTCCTCATACACAGCTGGAGCACGGGAAACGAGTCCCAGGACTGGGGCTTAAAGTGGTATACACAACCATAGTAGGATGTGAATAAACGCTATCAGGGAACAGGGACTAACATTACTACGTCCATCTCCATGCCAGGCACTGTCCTAAGCAGTTTGCTCACTACCACTTTACCTAAGTTCTCATTTAACTTAATAACCCTTCATGGTGGTCTATTACCCCCACTTCACAGATGAGAAAATGACCTTAGAAAGGAGACCCAGGGAACCAGCAGTTAGCGTAATGGCTATGTCGCTGGACTCCCACGTAGTCGACCGCGGTTCGTGTCCAGGACCCGGTGGCTTAAAACTCACGCCGGGCGCGTGTGCGTGCGTGCCCAAGATCCCGAGAGGAGAATGGAGGAGAAGGGATTGCGGCGTGACCATCCCCCCTGGGGGGTGATTTCTCGCTTTCTGTCTCTATGTCTCTCTCTGTCTGTCTGGCGAGCGCACGCGCCCTACAGTGAAAAATCTCTCCAAAAAAAAAAAAAAGAAAGGAGACCCAAAGTTAAAGCTAGCGCTAAGGGACAGAGGTGAGATTTACCAGGAATTTGACTTGAAATTTGGTTATTTCTTTCTTTTTATTTTATTTTATTTGAGAGAAAGAGATTTTTGCTACAGGACGCGTGCACTCACTGGAGAGATAAAGGGAGACAGAGAGACAAAAAGCAAGAAACCACCCTCGGGGGGGATGGCCATGCTGCAATCCCTTCTCCATTTTCTTCTTGGGGTTTTGGGCATGCATGCACATGCACCTGGCATGAGTTTTAAGCTGCTGGAACTCAAACCGCAGTTGAATACATGAGAGTTCAGCAATGTAACCATTATACCATCTGCTGGCCACTCCAGTTATTCTAGTGATGTCCCTACCCAGGTTGTTTAACATATGCTATCTGAACAAGGAGTGGCCTGTTGACAGCTAGGAACAGCCTCTTACCTGCCAAAGAGCCAACGTTGAGACCAGCTGTTGCTCCAGCCAACGTCTGCAGGGCTCCAAGTGAGGCTATGGGGTTGACAGAGTTACTGCTGCTGGAGCTAGGTGAAGACCCTGCTATTAGAAATCCAGGAGTTAGGCTGCCTGTAGCTACAGGGACTAACAGCCAGGACCTATGGCTCACTGCCTCCCCCACTCGCCTTTGGACTTCAGGTGTACTGCGCTAAGTGAAACTTCTCTAATAAACCTTCCTTTTAAAAACAAAAACAAAAAAAGAAATCCAGAAATTAAACTCAAGCCTTCTCTTCTCAACAGGAACCAAAGTACAAGAGTCATACCACTGGGTTGGCAGGTAGTGTGGTGGTTAAGGACGTTTTGACTCCCACATGGCCAATTGCAGTTTGAGTCCTGGACCTGGTGGCTTGCTTTCTCACTCTCCCAATCACTGGCTCACTCTGGTCAAATAAATAAAAATAATTCTTTAAAAGAGAGAGAGAGAGAGAGAGAGAGTCACACTATCCATCTCTTTTTTTTTTCTGCAAATGGGTTTTTAGTTACTAATTCTGGTAACTGTCCTTGTAGGACGCAGAGACAAAATGTTGGCAATAGTGGGGGCTGGCAGGAGGCATGGTAGTTAAGGGTACTGGACTCACACATGGCCAACTGTGGTTCAAGTCCTGGACCTGGTGGCTTACTTTCTCACTTTCCCTCTCTGGTCAAATTAAAGTTAAATAAAATAATTCTTGGGGAAAAAAAAAGTTAGCTGACAATCACTACTTTAAAAAAAATGTTGGTAATAGCAAACTAAAGAGATTTCTCTACAACAGAAGATGGCATAGGAATTTGGAAATGAGAGTTAACTACTTTCAGAATAATATACCTCTCTTTTGGGACTCTATCGTCAAATGGAAAGGATCTGCCCAAGGCCCACAATGGCAGCGCACTGGTTCTTAATACATGCCTACCTGAACTGGTGAGTACGCTGAGGGGACTGCTGGACGTAGTGAGAGCATTGGTACCACTTGGTGTGTTCTGGGCTGCGCTAGCTGCAGCAGCTAGTGCAGCCAAATTCTGTAACTGCATTGCATTTAACCCTGCAACATCCAAAGCAAGAGATCAGCCAGTAGGTAAAGGTGCCTCATATCCACTCCAGCAATGACAGCACATACCAGCAGAAGGCTGGACCCAGACAAGAAGAGCTGCTTCAGAGGATGCAAGCAATATTATGGGGCTCCAAAAAAGGAACCACTCATTAAGAAACTTAAACTTGGAGAAGAGACAGCTAATCTAATAACATCACCCCAAATGAGCATTGATAAAGAGCTGGGGCAATCAGGAAAGCAGAAAAGAGGGGATGTCTGTGGCCCACCAAGGGCACAAAAGAACAATAATGCAAAACCTGTGGCAGAGTGAGTCTGCGTCCACAGCCCCCAACCACACTTTACAGAGGATTTGCTTTCTGCAATGGAAGGGAACAAGTGGAAAATACAGCAGGGATTCAGAAGGCCCAGGAAGAATGACAGAGAATACATGTGAGAACAGCAGTAGGAGAAAGAATAAAGAAAATATTGCTATTTAAATAACAGATTAATCATCAGGAGAAGAGAAAAAACAGAGTAAAAGGCTTCCAAGTAGTACCTAGACAACACAGTTAAAAGGAGAGGAAGAAATCTGAACTGGGTCATGTTGCAAACTGTTTTTTAGATGATGGAAAGACAGACAGGGCGGGAGATGAGAGTGAGTTAAAGAGTAATGAGTATAAAAATAGTTAAAATAAAAATCGAGTAACTTTCCAAAATATAGCAAATTCTAATTCCTTGGACAAAGTGTACCACTATCAAGATTATCCAAACTGCAAACCAGAGTTCACTGAAGAGCATCTTTCTCTCACATGCACCTCACAGCCTTAGTCCACTGCATAGGGAACAGGCATAGGTAGCCATGGAACTTCCACGCACCCTATCCCCACCAACTCTTCTGATGGGCCCTGCCTCAAGTTTGTCTGTGGAGCCCCCGTCGTTACTAACAGATCGACAAATACGGGATTTGTCATTTAAGTTTTCTGTGTATGTTAACATCATCAACAGACAATGAATTCGCCTAAGTACATGTATAAGACTCACAGGTAAACTAAGTGCTTGTTTCTAGCAAATTTAGGGTAAGCTATTTGCATGAAAACAATCTCTGGTTCTCTTCAGTCACTTTACTATAGAAATAAAGAGTTCCTCCAATTTCCTCCTTATCAGAAAGCCTTCATATAGTTGGTAGAGGCTAAGAATTCTTTCCTATCTTATTCCCCAACAGTGATTTAAAGGGGCAGGGCAGGGGGTGGACAGACAACCTTAGAACATGTGGCATCAACTAACAATAGAGTCGCCTTACAGAGACAAGACAGTTGAGTTCTGAGATGTTCACCCTAGGTCAGTGAAAAGACTGTTTTGCACCAGTGATGCAGACTGTCGTGAGCTGGGTCTGCTGGGCTGGCGCTGCTGCTCGTCTGCAGCGGGGAAACACTTACCTCCCATTGGGTGGAGGCTGCTCAGGGTGTTGAGGTTCCCAGAGGAGGCAGTCTGCTGAAGGAGCTGCAAATAAAGCTAGACATTACACCAAAAGACAGAACAAGAGTGAGAGTGAGGGCTGGTTCTGCATCTGGGATAACTCTACAGCACAGCAAAGCGAGAGTGCAGAGGCCCCCAGAGAGAAGAAAGTCGAAGACAAGAACCCAAGCCAACACAACAGAAACAGGAGGCTTATGACAGCATGGGACAATACAACACAGCTGAAGACCTGGCCCAAATGATAGTATGTTCACTGAGCACTGAGTCAGGTTCAAAGTCCCTGGGCAGCAGAATACAACACGGCCGAGGGCAGAAGTAAAGCAGGGAGGAAAGCTAACCTTGAGTCTCCTACAATTAGTGTCTGTGTCTGGATGATGACCAGGTCTAGTTGCCCACTCCCAAGTTTGCCTTAGTTAGGTCCACATGCTGTATTCTGCAAGCGGTTCCATCTAGATGGGCAATTTCTACTTCATACTATTTTAAAAATGTAATCTGAGCATTTCATGGTATTTCATGGAATCACCCTTTACTGGCCACAACGAACTCATGACTTATTGATCACTTCCACGCCATACATCTATGAGCCCTATTTATCTCTTCCCTGCCAAATTAGTCTTCACTGCTGCAGATGATCAAGTCCATACAAGGTTTGGTGTGTATTCTTTCAATGGCTGTCCCATAACAAGTAAAACAATAGGGCCTGTCCATGAGCTTATGGAATTCTACGTATCTCGGCAAATTATAATCTTTATCTAACAAATCTACTGCAAATCTCTACACTAGTCAAACCCAATCACTACTGCTCCTTATGGAAAATTGGTATTCTCTGGGAACCAGCAGTTAGCGTAATGGCTATGTCGCTGGACTCCCATGTAGTCGACCACAGTTTGCGTCCTGGATCTGGTGGCTTAGAACTCATGCCAGGCGCATGTGCATGCGTGCCCAAGATCCTGAGAGGAGAATGGAGGAGAAGGGATTGCGGCGTGACCATCCCCTCTGGGGGGTGATTTCTCGCTTTCTGTCTCTATGTCTCTCTCTGTCTGTCTGGCAAGCACACGTGCCCTATAGCGAAAAAAACCTCTCCAAAAAAAAAAAAGAAAGAAAATTGGTATTCTCACAGTGGAGCTGCTGTCTAACTTGCTTCCCATTCCTGCAGACATTTATTCTGATTCCCGTGTCATCCTCATCAAACTCAATCCCTCTAGAACAGAGTTCAAGGATGGGTTTCAGGAAACCCACAAACCTCCAGAAACAGAATGAAAACACACACACACACATACACACACACACACACACACACACACCCAATTTTCACTCCACTGAGATGGAAGCCACAATCCCATAAACATTAAGCACCACTGCTCCTGGGGGACCAGCAGTTAGCGTAATGGCTATGTTGCTGGACTCCCATGGACTCGACCATGGTTTGAGTCCTGGACCTGGTGGCTTAAACTCACGCTGGGCACATGTGCGTACGTGCCCAAGATCCCGAGAGGAGAATGGAGGAAAAGGGATTGCGGCGTGGCCATCCCTCCTGGGGGGTGATTTTTCGCTTTCTGTTTCTCTGCCTCTCTGTCTTAATGGTGAGCGCATGCGCCTTAAAGCAAAAACCTCTCCAAAAAAAAGAAAAAAGAATCACTGCTCCTTGGGACCAGCAGATGGCATAATGGTTATGTTGCTGGACTGCCACATGGTCAACCATGGTTCGAGTCCCAGGCCTACTGGGCTAAAACTCACACCAGGCACACGTGTGCCCCAAATCCCAAGAGGAAAATCAAGGAGAAGGGACTGCGGTGTAGCCATCTTCCCTGAGGGGGGTGATTTCTTGTTTTCTGTTGGTCTTTCCTGTGAGCAAATGCATCCTGTAGCAAAAATCTCTCCTTTATTGGGGAAAGGTTTTTGTTATAGGGCACATACACTCATCAGACAGAAAGAGACAAACAGAAGATGAGAAATCACCCACCAGGGCAGATGGCCATACTGCAACCCCTTCTCCTCCATTCTCCTCTTGGGATCTTGGGGACTCATGCACACATGCCATGTATGAGTTTAAGCCACTGGGTCCAGGAGTTGAATCAAGGTCAACTACATGAGAGTCCAGTGAGATAGCCAATTTGCCAACTGCTGGTCCCTAAAAATCTCTCTTAAAAAATAAAAATAAAAGAAAAAAAAAAGAAAAAGAACCCTGCTCCAGTTCAGTAGAGTTCAGTGGGTTCAAGTCCAGATATTGCAGAAAGAACCTCAGAATTCGGGACACTGCATAATCACTTACACAGTCCACTTATGCCCGCATGTCTTCATAAATGCCATGGGCAATGTGATCAATCTCAACTGAGAAAGTGGGAATATTATACTTGGAACCTTCGCTTTCTCCCTAAAAACAGTTCTGAGGGCAGGAATAATATCTAACTGAAACAGAGACCACAGTTCTCAACATATACCATCATGCACCTGCTGGGTGTGGCAATGACAACAAAAGGGGGAATCTTCCCTAAAAAGAGTCTTCAAAACTCTAAGAAAAGACAATGTATATCATGGAGATCACTTTCGATGCATTATCGTTTGGGCAGAAAACTAAAATCTCTCTGAATTTTCTGGCTTACAAGCAATGTTCTAGCATTAAGAAACAATTTAATCAGTTAAAACAATAATAGGGAACCAGCAGTTAGCGTAATGGCTATGTCACTGGACTCCCACGTAGTTGACCGCGGTTCGCGTCCCGGACCCAGTGGCTTAAAACTCACGCCAGGCGCGTGTGCGTGCGTGCCCAAGATCCCGAGAGGAGAAGGGATTGTGGCGCGACCATCCTCCCTGGGGGGTGATTTCTCGCTTTCTGTCTCTATGTCTCTCTCTGTCTGGCGAGCGCACGCGCCCTATAGTGAACATCTCTCCAAAAAAAAAAAAAAAAATACTGTATTTTCTCACTGCTGAGAAATAATTCTAGGGGCACACTGGAACCAAAGGGAATCAAATTAACCACAATTCAGAACCAAACAGTATATCATCCATTCTGTTTCCTTACAGAGTAGTATTTTAAAGAATGAGGAGAGAGGGGTGATGCTAGTAATTGTTAAGTGGATGTTTTGGACTATCCAGACAAATCTAGCAGTCTCACCATCAACAGTTTCAGAGAGGATTTTTCCTTCTGACTCACAGATAAGACACTTTACAGTGTTTTGCGCTAGCTGCAATTCTTTTAAGGGTTAAAGTAGTGATAATCCCTGGTAGTATATACTATAGATTTAACAAATCTATACAACCAATTGGAGTCCAAAATATAGTCTTTTGGACTACATGCCTCAAATGCAACAGAGTAACCAAATTAAAGAGAATTAATGTGCAAGAATGAACTCAAACATACACCTTAATATTTGTTCAATAATATCCATGTTATTCTCTTGACTGCTCAACCTACTGAATCACAAATTTATCATACTCTTCAGAGAAGGCTCAAAAAGGACATTAATGACGCCTTCTATATCTGTTAGAAAGTGATATGGAAAAAAATGGTAGTTCCTCAGGAATTTTTTCTTGGAGGCAGGGACAAATGAGATGTTTCTAAATCTTCACATCAGGAAATCATGATTTCATTTAATTGTAGCAAAAGCCTCAGGACATAATCAGAGATGCTTCAGAGTAAGTTTGTGTCTGAGAGAGACACACTAAAATGACCTAAACAACACTGCATTGCCTGAATTTTTCTGTAAATTTCTATATGCTGAAAACTGTAAAAGCCACAATGTTTGCTAGCTAGGAATAGCAGAAGAAGAAACAGCTGAGAGCTTGCACAGTCTGCAGAAAGCAAACCACAGAGACTCACTGCTAAATACTGGGGTCCGAGAGTATTTAGACCAGCAAGGTTTCCCCACACAGATGCTGCGCTGATTTGCTGCATCTGCTGCTGGAGCTGCTGGGCCATTCTCTTCTGTTCTTTGTCCTTCTGTGTATCAGCAAACTTTACCACCATGGGGGATGAGCAACCCTATGGAAATACCAAAACCAAAGGATCAAACTCCTTCTGGGTAAAAAAAATCCTCTTTGGTGACATGCAGGTGGCATCCTAATTTCATTCACTGCCAAGTAAGTCTCCTCTTGATAGACATGAGCAGCAAAAGACAATTTAAAAGGGCAACTCTTGGGCCAGCGGGTGCTGTGGCAGTTAAGGTGCAGGATTCCATATATCCAATTACACGATTTGGGTCTTAGTCCCTGTGGCTTCAAAAATCACACCAAGCGTGTGCATGCCCAAAATCCCAAAAAGAGATGGGAAGAGAATAGATTTTGATATGGCCATCGCCCTGGAGGGATCATTTTTCACCAATATTGCTCTTCCCTACA